CCACTGATTTCTAGTCGTGTCCTCTTTTGGAAGGCCAAACAAAGTATTTTCGCTTTCACAACGAAACAGCATCACACACCACGGCCTAGAGTGAGCGGAGGCCGGCTTGAGTGAGCAGAGGTTGGCGGGCTTGAGAACGGCGCGGCCGGCGGATTCGACGAAGGAACATTTGGGCGACATTATGCAAATCTTCCCCACAACATGTGGGGGCGTGTTAGAACGAGCCATTTTAGGTAGGTGTGGTTGACTCTTAATTTTTATAAAGAATATCTCTTTGGATTTGAGACTTTAGTCTTTGCAACTTTACAGATCTTCTTTATGCACCAAGAGCTTGTAACACTCCAAAGAGAAAGGAAAAATTTAAATCGCATCATATGACCCCTTTAACTTGACCTTCAAGGGGGGGCGGACTGCCCCCCTAATATAATGTCAGGGGAAACACTGAAAGCTAAAGTCAGACCATTCTGTTTTTGCTTCAGATTTTGAAAAATACATTCTAATTTACATCTGAAACTGCTCATGTAAGCAGTATCTTTGTTTGGATTAGTGTTGGGCGATAAGCTCAATTTTCATATCGTCCTATCATCAGCCTGCGAGATTGCCGATACACAATATTATCGTGGTAATTTATGTAATTATTTACTTCGTTTCATTGCGAGAAAGTGAACCAACTCCAGCGTAAGGCTAAAAGCAGCCTAATGTTTTTAATATGACTGAATTTGTATTTAACATGATAACAAATTAATAGAAACATCGTAAGTTACTAATTATAATGCTTACATTTCCTCAGTTATTCAAAAAGCAGCTACAGAAAACGAGCAAAGAACATTACCAAAGAACATCATCACAAGCTCAGTCTAGCATGAGTTTATGCACTTTAGAAACACTCCCGTTAAAATCAGTGAATATACACTGTTTGATGAATAAATCTCTTATACTTACATCGCATGTACATCTGCACTTTGTTGTTTATGAGGAGAGAATTCGCAAGTCAGAATTCAGTTGCGCGCTGAACAACAGAACTCCGCTGTTTCAGTGATGACTCATCTGAACGCCTCTGATTGGCCATTGCATTTATAAGCTCAGCATAATCGTGTGTGATTGGTTAGAACGAGCAATACTGTAAAAACGCGGAAAAAGAAATATAGGCATAATGCAACAAATAAGCCCTAATATTAATTAGATAGTATTACTAGCCTGATAATAATAATAATAATAATAATCATCTTGCTATCGTCAAAGGCATCAGCCACAGGCGATATCGGTCTATCGTCGATACACGATACTATCGTCTATCGGCACAACCCTAGTTTGGATATGATTAAAATGATTAATTTTAAATGGCTACAGATACAGCCTGTAATAGAGCAAATAAACATCGTTCATGTACTCGTATTTTCATTTTTTTCTTGTCTCTTGCTTAAAAATATAAAGAAAATAAATATTTAAAAACTGTGCTAGCAGAATTAGCTTACTAGCATGGAATTGGCCATGAAAGATTGATGCATCACTAACAAGAAATGCCTGGCCAAGTGTATGGTAAATAATTCAGGATCAGGTTCAATTGTTAAAGCTTTTAAACATCAGGATATTACCAGCCCTTCCACTCAATTGGCAGTTGTGATGCTCCTTAATATTCAATGGGTGTTCCTACATTTTTTGTTGGTGCTCCTAACTTCTTGAATTTGAGAGTACCAGTGCTACCAAGCAAAAAAAAAAGTTAATTTCGAGCCCTGCATGCTTATGTTCGTGCTAAACCAGACACAGAATTATGATAATATTTCATGTTTTAACAGCAAGATGTTTGTTTGTTAATAATTTAACACCACACCCGCTACCACAGCCATATTCATGGCAAGAAACAAGTAAAAATTGTTAACACAAACTCCTTATAAACAACAACAACAAAAATATAAAAAAAAATTTAAAGTTTACCTTCAAAGATACTGGACTCTGACATAATGTGCATAAAGGAGAATCTTTACCCATTTACAGAAAACTTGAACCCTTTAACTTGATTGATTTCATATAAAGTGTATTTGTGCTATACTAATCTCATTTGGATTTTTAACAGCAAGAAACATAGAGACTGAGTCCCATCAGTTAATTGAAGAGCATAGAGACTGAGTTCCATCAGTTCAAATTTCTCTTGTCAGCCGGGTATTAAGAAGGAAGTTTAGCAGTGAGAAAATAATTGAGAGAAATGTTTCTCAGCATTAACAGGATTTGATATGACTCAGCTGTGTTTCTGAAGTCATAGACTGTGACAGACTGTGTGCCAGCACTGGACAAGTAGGCAACATATGCGTTTACGGTCTAACTGCCTAAGCAGCATATTGTGAGATAAGAAAACATGCAGCCCACAAAACGCCTACATACAATCATGTGAGAGACCAGAAGATATATCTGCCAACACTCCAATTCACAAGTATAGCAGTGATGCTCACTATGAGACACAAGCTCAGCTTTCTGCTTTTTTATGCTGTCTCTGTGAGTGACCTGCTACTGGATCTATGTCTGCATTCAACCACCCCTCACATACAGCTTGGAATCCAAGGTCTAGACAGGCAAAATTAGGTCAAGCATGATCAGTGGAATTAATGCATCCTCATCAAGTGCAAATATTTTGGTACTGTACTCAGGAATCTCGTTTGAAACTATATGTAGATTTTACCTTAAAGGCGACATATCATGAGAATCTTACTTTTCCAGGTTTTACATGCTATAATCATGTCCCCAGTGCATCTACCAACCAAGGAAACGTGAAAAATATTAACCCAGTAACTTTGTTTTGGTAAGCCTTTTTCTGCAAGCATCTGAAAAAACGAGCGCGTCTGATTTCGCTCCCTTCGTGATGTGGCAAAGGGATCTCATTATAATATTACCGCTGTAAATTTTCACCCATGGCACACAAGGAAGTTTTAAACTATTTTTTGTAATATTCATGTAATTTACATCAATACTTACCAAGATGGACATTTTGATATTGTTTGTGCAGGATTTAACCCTCTACCGCACGCATTATGATAGACCTATAGAAAAAAATATTTGAATCTTTTTCTTTTCTAAAAATGGCTTAACTTGACGTGCTGTAAAAAAAAATGGAAAAAAATATTATTTTAAAGTACTTTATGATATGTTGCCATACGGCAACAGCATACAATAGTGGATCTAACTTAGAATAAGTGTAAGCTTACTTATAATTAATATTTTTCCTCAGAAATGTTGTTTGTGTTGATTCAATTGGTGCCATTATAAGCTTTAACACAGTACTTACTAATAATGGACACCTTATACATACTTTCCAACAACTTGTGCTTTTATTTATTCTATTCTTTTTTTGCTGAAATGATTTATAATTGTTTTAATTTCATTACATTTTTCATGAATGTTATTTAAACTGCAAATTTATACAGTTAAAACAAATATAATACTGTATATAATGTATCATAAAACACTGACATAAAACCAAAAACATTGCAGTTCATGAAAATTCAGCATTATGCAATCTCTTGAGAGGAAGACTATGAACCCAATAATCCTTAAAAGATCACCTTTTTAATGTATGAAACTTCACAAAGCAGTTTTTTCATGTGCAGGAAGAGCAAGTTCTGCCCTTTACTTCTTTACCTTGCCGTAGAATATGGCCGTGCTCACTGAGGTAATGTTACCTGTATTCATATTTAATCAAAAGTAAAATTGCCATTTCAATTTGATTATATCCATAATACAAATGCCATTAACATACGACTAATCAACATTATTTCACTAGTATTAATGTTGTTATTGTTACAGCTTAACAAATTGCAGCTGACCTTGCTAGCTAGCTAAACTATTGTAATAATGTCATTCCACTATTGCACAGTGTTGCCACTTGGCAACACATACATTTGAATGATTTACCAAAAACTAATTTTATAAAAACTTGTTTGAGAGGTGAATATGTCATCATAACAGTGATGTTTTCTATTTTTTTGTAGAAGTGACACGGACTGGTCCTTGTTTGTTACTGATGTTTTAGTTTGCTTTCAGCAACTACCGACAAGAGATGGCAGTCTGTCAGAAATCTCGCCACAGAAAAAAAAACTGCATGTCATGTGACTTAATCAAAGCAAATTATTGGCTAAACTAAGGTCTTCTCTTTCCAACAAAAAAAAACGAGAACGTTCTCTTAAAGAGACAGTGGCAAGGAAATGAACAGAGTATTTTGCCATGGCTACACCATGCGGTAGAGGGTTAAGAAATTATCTGTTCATGTTATGGAGGAAAGCACAGTGCATGTAGGGGGTGTGGCCTCAATAGCCCTGCAGTAAGCAGTGTGCTGTGTGCATGTGATTGAGCAGTGTGTAGGGTAGAAATTAAACTGACATTGCATTAAATCAGGTTGTTTTAACCAAGATTATGCTGCAAGATTTTTTCTCAACTACATTCAAGTCCCCAGTTCCTGCAATTTTGCAAATTTCCAGTTTATTCCCATTAATACCCGTTAACTCCCATATATTCCGTTAATTCCCATGGAAAGTTTCCAGTCTTGAAAATTCCCGGAATTTTGCAACCCTACACCCACCTAAGCAAAATTAAACAAACTTCATTTACAAAGTCTATACAAAAGTTCTGCATTACTTCAGTATTAATCAATATTGTGCCTAACTGTGCAGACAGAAAGCACTACATGTTCAGAAGGCTGTGGGTTGGGTTAATAACATGAAACCTATCAACAAGTCAACTTATGTTGTTTGCTAATTGCTGTGATCAACTAAACATTGTACACATCTTCCATCTACCTGACAGCCCAATGAACCCCAATTCAAACCAAATTCAACTGGATTACGTAAATGATATTGGTCACATTGTTACAAAACGGTGTCATCATTGAGAATGAGTTGTACAATGTCGCCCCCTGTGGCTGTTTCGTCAGTCTCGGAAAGTAGGTCAGTTTTTTTATAAAATTCCTGCTGCGATAAATTGGGTGAAAGGGCGTAAATGTAACTGTCTCTTACCTAGTTCAATCGCCCTGTTGAACTTCAGTATTGCGTTGGATACGTCCTGTTTTTTCCAAAGACCTTCCCCTTCCAACCAGTATCGTCTCACTTTGCTTTCCGAATTAAACCATTTTTCAATCAAGCCACTGAAAATAACATTTACTCTGAGTCCGTCCACAGTAAATTGTCTGGGTGATTTGTTGGGTTTTAAACGGCAGCTTCTGCACTCTTTTGTAAGGTCATCTTCCAGACAGCGCTTACAGAAAGTGTGTCCACACACCAAGGACGTCGGTTCCGTCAATAAACACTTGCAAAGGCGGCATGAAAACAAGTCTAAATTCTGTTCATCGTCTAACTCATCGCTCTCAAAACATCTGCTTTCTGAGGTAGAGCCCCCGCTTATTGTCTTACTGACACTCTGCTCTTTAGTGCGGATCGTATGTGCTATAACTTCAACTAAAATCTGCAGTTCATCAGGTCTCAGTGCCTGGAAGTTTGCAGCGATGCAATACGAGTCCAGCGCATCGGCTATATGTCCCCCACGGGCTAGAGCGTCAGCTTTCCGCAGGGAGAGGCCACGGTCGGTGTGCTCGAGCTCGGCGAGCTGAGAGGTATAGATCTCCGCAGCCAGATCGAAGTCTCCGGCCCGGCAAGCCTCGTCCGCAACCCCGAGCATTTCCACACACAATCCCGGTGCGGTCGGTTTGGAGGGATCGTGCACATAATGTTCGGTGTGGTTTTGAATCCCAGCATCCATTGTCTGCTACACCGCATAAAATGCAAATGTCCGCTTTTAGGAAAGCGGACAAGTACAACGTATAGGGCTCGGGTTTAAAGCTTTGGTGGAATCCAGGCTACAAATAACCAAATATAGTCCTATTTTAGTTACTTCACAAAAACACCATCTTTAATGCAACATGATCGGAATACTGGTGAAAATCAATAACATGAGACCAAAGGCTAAATGTTTATAAACACTATTCATTTCCCATTCACCACTGCTTGGCCCACCAAAACACCTAAATGACTGGTTAATTTCCCGGTAAAGCAAAAAATATATATATAAAAATAAATAAATAAAATAAATGTCTCTGACAAAACAATACATAACACATCTAGCAATGTTTTCATGTAAGGTTGTAATGTAAAAAAAAAAAAGAGAGACAAACGTTTAAATATGTCTTCAAAACAAACCAGAATGAGTTCGTTGGGGTTTGTTTTGAAATCACGAGTCTCCAAACAAGTGAGCAACCAACGAAAGAAAAAGTTGAAAGCTGATTTTCACACATCGACGTCAGTGCTGATTATGAGTTTCTTGATTTCTGCCGAATGAAGCATATTCATGACCAACGTTTAGATGACCCATTAGTTTTATGTAAGACTCAATGTCTCCGGCAGCGGCACTTTGTGTAATCCTCCCGATCTCTTTGGCTTAGAATACCCTTTAAAACGGTCCTTCTCCGAATCCCTTTCATTCTGATCATTCTACAGGATGTCCATGTCTTATACGAGCCAGCAGAAACGGCAAATATTAATCAGTTGTTTTAATAAAATGGAGACAGCTGCGACGTTACCATTCGGTCCGCACTGACACGGGAAAGTGTGATACCCAGTGTTGCCAAACCCCTCCCTCAGAAAATCGCTAGAACCACCCTCAAAAGTCTCCATTTTTCACAAAAAGTCGCTAAACATGAAAACAAAGTAAATACAGGTAAATTTGATAAAGGAAAGTAAATATATATATATATACTTTACAAATGATGACAGTATAAAAAATATTGTGTTCACTGCGCAGACTCATTGGCATGATTGAGAGCAAACGTGAGAGGTCACGGGCCTACGGCAGGGTGTGGCCAAGTAAAAAATAAAAAACTCCAAAAAATCGCTAGTTTTATTTAAATATAGCTAAAATAGCTCCTTGTCGCATAAAATAAAAAAAAGTCGCAGCTACAATGAGAAAGTAGCTAAATTTGGCGACAAAATCCCCAAATTGGCAACACTGGTGATACCGTCTCCCTCGCTCTCGTTCACGTAAGAAGCACGTGACGTCAGGATTGAGGCCTCATTGGTGTGTTATATAGCTCACTTATATAATGACAAAAGAGTTGTGTAACCTAAAAGGGGCATGTATAGAAAATAGGAGATCATTTCACATAAAAAAAAAAGATATTTTTATATGATGGTTTTGATTCTATGGCACGTGAAAGATATTAAAAAACTGACAAGACATTCATAAATGCCACTTGCTACTTTGTCTTGCTCGCGAGAACTCCAGTCTGACGTATGCGGGTTCTCGCGTTATTTCCTTATCACTTCTCGCGTGTGTTTTGTTGTGAAACGTAGTTTGCGGACCAGACAGAGCTATTGGCGATTCTTCCTATTGTGAAAGTCATGCAGTGTGAAACCCCCTGTCGCCGATCCATCGTGCAATGTGAACACAGCAGCAACTGAATGCTACCCCAGATAGTCACGCAGAACGCGGCATAAGGGTAATGAAAGGTTCATATTTTGGTTTTGGGAGTCCCCAACAACAGGTTGACATGCATGCAAGGTCAAAAAACACTTTCATTGTCTTATAATAGCATTTATTTTTACCTTGCTCAAGGACTCCCAAACGATTAGCTCAACCATTAATTTTTCCAAACCCCTCCTTTGCGTGACGCTAATCTGCGGTGATTGGTCCGATTGGTCTCATTTTCATTTCATCATGCCTGTAATGCCTGATAAAGCAGCGTTTGTGAGCGCAGTGCTGCTTTGTGTACAGCTTTACCGGGGAAACAGCTATTTTTACCGCTCCTAAAGCGGCATCTAGTGGCAAAGAATGAATTTACATTTTCATTCAGACCTACGCGAAAAGACCAACAAGTGGGCAGGCAATATGCTAATGTTTCATGTTGATGTCAACATGAAATGGCTTGGGATTCGTTTTAAAAACGACTGGTTGCAATGATTCAGTCGACTCTTTCTTTTGAGAGACAATAACTTTATACACGGTGCACTTTCAGATTTAAAACTTTGCAGGATGTTTTCATTCACTTAGAGCTGTGTTACACACTGCATGAAAGGTCATTTTCAAAAATCCATAATAGGGCCACTTTAAAGTAAAAGTGAAATTTCAAACATGAGAAACATCTACATCTGTTTAATCTGTTTTCAGAGGTTACCTCAAGTCATTTAACAATCACTCACCATTTATAAAGCATACCATATTAGATAACATTTAAAGGGATATTTCACCCAAACATGTTGTTCGGTACACAAATGAAGATATTTTTGATGAAATTTGATAGCTTTCTGACACTGCATAGACAGCAACGGAACTACCACATTCAAGGCCCAGAAACGTAGTAAGGACAGTAGCCTACTGCCGCTCCCTATACGCAGAATACGCAGTTTGCGTAGGGCACCAACTCTCACGGGGGGCACCATCCCAGTTGCTCAAAAAAAACAAAAAAATACATACATATATACATTATAATACATACATAAATACAAATATAAAAATGAACATATATACATATTTCAGATTTAAAACTTTGCAGGATGTTTTTATTCACTTTTTTTTTTTTTATCGCGTTTTTTATTCAGCAACGGAACTACCACATTCAAGGCCCAGAAACGTAGTAAGGACAGTACCCAGCAAGCAATAGCCGTCATTTCAACGTCTCGGTTAAG